TCTTTTGCCGAGGGGTTGTGGGATCAAACCCCCAAAACCCTTTTTTATTTTTATTTCTTTTTCCTTGACTTTTTTGAGTTAACCATGAGGGTGTGGGATTGAACCCTCACTTTATTTTTATATTTCATCCTCCTTTTTCTCTTAGAGGTCGTGGGTTCGATTCCCACGCCTCACAGTTGTGGGTTCGAATCCTACTCCTCTTATTTCTTATTTTCATACATTATTTTTCAGCCAGCAGTAACCAAGTTCGAATCTCCTTAAGCCCATTTCTTCATTTACGTTTTTAGTGTTTTTTACGGGTGAGGTCTCGGGTTCGATCCCTAATGACCTTTCCTAATTTACACTCATTAAAATGTAAGATTTGTTCATCCATGTTTAGTTGAAACCAATCTTACACGTTGCTGGAAATTTTTTCACGTTTTTAGCTCTCTTTCAACAATGTTTATACGTAAATTTATAGGGTAATTTGTAGATCATTCAAGACATTCATAGGTGCATTTTTATGGATTCATTAGCCAAGATATTGTCACTCAAATTAGCCACATTTCAACTCATACGAACATCATGATTTACATAAACATTTGTAAATGAAATACAAAGAACTAAGATGCCCTTTCAAGTCCTAAACCATGACCAATAGCCACGACAACACACCCAACACACGTAGTTACATTTTCGAAAAACATTAACATAAGTCACATAATTCCGAACATACATATAAACACATCATCATCACAAAAATATGTTTTATCCCTAATTTTCTACCAGCAGTCATAACAAACCTATGATTCAATGGGAGCAAGTGATAGGGACATGCAACGGGGAAAAACCCTAGTTTTTGGAATAGATTCATCTGAATCTTAGGGCTATCTTGGGAAAGGGACCAAGAGATAAGACAAACCATACCTTTTAGACGTTCAAACCTCGACTTGATGCCCAAAGAACTCATCCAAACACACGTCCAACACCGAAAGTTCAACACCAACTCGATGGACAACCTTCTTTTTGGCTACATGATTGATTTTGTTATTTGTTTTTATCTTTCGTGGTGAGTTCTTTAAGTGTGAAGCACTTGGTTTATCTTTCTTTTCTTGAAGTTATTTAAGCAGAGAGAACGTGAAATACAAGAGAGTATAATCATGAATGTTGAGGAGATAAGCGTGAGAGAGGAAGTGTTTTATTAGGCTTAGGAGTCTAGTTTAGGACTTAGTCAAATAAGGTTTTATTAAATGATAAAAAATTTGACACTTTTATTTTAAAATCAGATAATAAATAATAAATAATAATTAATTACATTAATTTACCAACTTAAATTTAAAATAATTTAATTCATTGTTTCTACCTAGGTTCGAACTTGGTGGAGCAAGACTTCACTCTAAGAGACAATTTTTGGCCCTCTTTCCCCAAAATACCCCTACATCTTATTAATGAAATAATTTATTATATATTTAGGGTTATTAGGATACTACCCTTAGCCTGAAAAAAGACCATTTCACCCCTAGATCTTCCAAACGTTAGATTATTCCTTTTAAGTCCGGTAAAGACTCATCCCAGCAAATCTTCGTATTTGGGATCCCTAAATGGCTGGACCAAACATTTCCTAGCTCAAATAACTACCCAAGTTAGTTGGCTTGGCTGTCGAAAGGGTTCAGAGTTCTGGTTCTACGCGCATCAATTAGTATGAATCCGGTCTAATCATAGGCATTCTAGACACATTAAGTATTATCTAGCATAGCCATTTTTAGGGTTGTTACATAAGTGCTATAGTTTAGTACTCTGTGAGCCTCCTCTTGCTAGCCAAAATATCTTTTACATACTTAGCATACTTCGGGATACCCTGCAAAATGTAAACCATAGGCAAATTTTATGTAAACTTGTTTAAGGAGATAGAGAAACATACCAACACATTCATCTTCATTCTGCTTTTTTAGCCATTGTGGAAATGGAGGTGGTAACTTTTTTGAGGAACAGTTGCCTCAACATTGGAGCTTTTTACTGCCTTTTACACTTTCTTGTCTTTAGTACTTACCTCATTGTCTCTCTTCTTTGGAGCTAATTCGTCTAATTGCAGCCCACTTCTAGTACTTATAGCATGCAGTATCCTTGGGTTAGGCTCAGTATCACCAGAAAATCCACTTTTGGGAAGAAATTTCAAAAAATTAGCCACTTTCACAACTTGTTTCTCTAAACTCATTTGGGACATTTGGATGTTTCTAATATTCTCATCCTACTTATCTACTCTAGCATTTAATTTGTACCCATTTCAGACATGAGCTTTTGGAATAGTTTTTCATTGGTCATCCCACCTTTTGGTTCACTTGGGTTTACACTTCGATTGGGATTTTTGTATTGTTGTCCATCCCCTTGATTACGGTATTGATTCACACCTTGTGCCTGATTTTTATTTTGAATATCACCCTAAGATAAATTAGGATGGTTCCTCCAACTAGGGTTGTAACTATTGCCATAATTATTTTGGCCTAGGCCTCTTTGCACATTACCGTCATAGTTCATAGAATTCGGGTTTGCCTCACATTGATCAGTTTCATGGGTTCCACTACCACATACCCCACACCAATTTACTGTTTGTTGCACCACAATTATTAAAGCTTGATTTAGAGCAACTGCTGAAACTATATAGTCACGCTATGTTGCATTCCATCTATCTTGGAATTCAAAGCAATAGTTTGGTATACATCTAAGAGCCCTGCTGCCTTTTGGGTTGTGAATCGAGAAGTATCTCCTTCGTACCCTTGGTTCCCTTCCGACATTTTATCAAGCAAGTCAAAGAATTCTTGACATGTTATAGATAGGGCTTGTCCACCTTATGCACTATTAAGAAGAGATCGAGCATTATACTCTAAACCCTCAAAGAAAGCATGCACTAGTACCTCATTAGTTTGCATGTGGTATAGAAAAGCATTCAACATTTGGTTGAAGCGTGCCCAAGCTTGGTACATATCTTCCCCCATGATTTTGGACAAAGTTCGTTATTTCACTTCATCAATTTCTAAGTCCTTGCTAGCGGCGCCAAAAACTTGATGCTCCCCAATAACACGCAAGTATACGTGGTCACATAAGTATATTGATTCTTTTTTCGTAAAGAGTTCTCATTCCCAAGGGACTTATGATCAATTTATACTTAAAATTAATTCCACAACTACACGTAAAAGTAACAGTCTCAAGAGTTGATGGCTTGTTATTAATTATGACTAGTTTAGCAATAATTAAGGGTAACAAAGATTGAACTTTTTTAAAATGGTGTTTAATGCAACAAGGAGACAATTCCAAGGTTGAAGCGTCTGTTCAATCTAATGCATCATAACTTTGACTTTGAATTAACTTTGGTTATCAAGTTACTAGTTTATAGGGTTAATTATATGAGTCGGGCTACACACCTCTTGTCGCCTACACCAATAAGATACCTAACTACATCATTGAACGGGTATAAGTAAGCTAATTGGCGATCAATTATATCTCATCCTATTTCGTAAGCAAGCATGTTGTTCGTCTGGTCGTCACTTCTGAACACAAATCACTTGACTCTAATGGGTCGATTGATGTCTCTATATCCTCTGGTCTATTTAATCCCTCCTCTCTTGATTTTAAGATTATACACTAAATTTATCTTATGGTGATCAAGCATAAATAGTAAAAACAAAAATAGAGAAGTAACTTCTATTGACAACTAAGAATTAATTCAAAAGCAAATAATATTCAACATTCAATTCATAGTTGCAGCCCCAAAACTAGGGCGTTTAGCTACTCATACTATTCAAAAACCACAAAAATAAGTTGTTGCTTTTGCACACCAATCAAAAAGTCAAACCCTTACAATGAGGCCCTAAGGGTTTATTTATAGTAAATAGGTAGATAATGTTGAATTCTACTTAAAAACTAGGAGTCTTTTTTATTTCAACTTTCTTCAGAAACTTTGCACAGGGCTGGGGCGCCACACCAGAATTATGCCTAGTAGGCTGGTGTGCAGCATTGCTAGTGCATCTGAATCCACCCCCAGTTAAATGGGCCAGGTGTGTCCCTTCCTTGATGCACCAAGGTGACTGGGCGCCGCGCCAATATCTCGCCAGACTACATCTCGTCACCTTGAAATCTTTTTCATCCCTACACTTTATCATTCTTCTTGGTAACTTGAAAAATCACTAATCATGTATATTAATATGCAATCATCGCAATCTTGAGCCAAAACAAGCTAGTTAGATTAGATAATGTCCTAACCTAATGTTTAAAAGATGGGTAATTTCTCGTAATTAGGCATATAAATATGCCCAAGATCAGAGACCTTAAATAAGACATTTACATATGAATAACATAATAAAGCAATAAAAAGGTATAATCAATATAGGCCTCAAATAATAGAATGACATAAAAGATACCAAAAGAGTTCAAAAGCAATTTGTAGAATACTACTAAGTTTGATACAAGACTTTCTAAAACCATGAGGGATGTTGAAATGTAACCATACACCACATACAAGTTTGTAACGAAAGACATTAGAAATAATCAAGGAACATTAATAGACTTGTCCTCATAACATGAGCACTCTCCAATCCAAGTAGTCAAGCTATGAAATCTCAAGCTAAGCACGTCTGGGAGGAGAAACATCCAACCCTATTTTATGAAAGAAACTTGATAAATCCAAATTACGCCTGACTTCCCACGAGACCATTCAATGAGACGTCGTCTACTTTAAGGTCAAGAAACCCATCACTAGAATCCAAATCCAAGTCCAAAATTTCAGTAAGTCTAGACCACTCTATCGATTACTCTTATGAACTGTTATAAGTCCTATGGTTCTCAAGTCCATTCATCAGTCATACATCAAAGACTTAATATTTCAAAAATTCAACTCAAGTTCTATGACTATGTCATGATCCAGGAACACCCCTATGTCATAACACGACGTATTTGACCTCTCGAAGGTCTTATACAAGCCGTTAGAAATGCTAAGTCTATTGCATAATAAAAACTTTTCACAACAATAGTTCAAATCTCATTTATTGAAATAATAGAAATGCTAAGTCTATTTGTAGCCATCTTAGACACATGAATATGTTGGGTCACAACCCATACATCAATGAAATAGAAATACTAATGTCTATTACAACGTCTTTGAAAAGAAAAGCTAAATATATCCACGTCCTCGAATCAGATGAGAACATGCTAAGACTTGCTTAGGAGAATGCTATTCCCAAGCTTCCAAGACTCCTTTCAATTGCCACCTACACCTTTAAAGATGAAACAACATATGAAATTACTAAAATCGACTGCACTAAGTATGGTGACATGCAATAAAACCATGCTAAAAATGGACATTTAGTAATAATATCCTCTTTTATATTCTTTAGAAGAAAACCAAATAAAATAAGTATAAGAATCACTCTCACATAGAACGTCACATATAAGACACATTCCAAGTAATCCACAGTATATAATTAACAACACTTCAAACCATATTAGCATATAACCCTCTTACTAAAGGTTATCCTAAGACTTACTTAAGTAAGACAAGAAGAGACCACCCATACGCCCTCTTCAAGCACACCTAAATAATCCTTAAGATCACCTAAGATAAGATTATCCCCTTTTCATTAATTATACTCTCTACCAAAGGTTACTCTAAGACTCATTTGAGTAAGACATGAAGATACATCCCATACACCCTCTCTAAGCCTACCTAAGTAATCCTCAAATCTACTCTAGATAGGGATCCTTTTATTCAACCTTCATTACCTAGGTTATAATCATTCATCAAGTCAATTAAGATACAATAAAGCATTTAGAGGACTTCACATAAGGGTCTTGGAAAATATCTAGGGAAACCACATACTAGAATCTTCAAAGCCTACTCATAACGTTTTAAAGTTCTCCAACAATATTATACATCCCACATGATGATAATAGGCATTAACCGATATAGACCATACTAGCTAGGCATCGGATCTAGATTCTATCCTACTACGATGTAGGGTGTAAAACTTTCCAAGGGTTGAACTAAGACACATCCCATGTAGGCACATTGTTATGAAATATCAAGGGTGTGTTTTTACTCTAGTCTTATCTTAAGAATATTCACTACCATGAACATATTCTCTTGGTGCTAGCAATTACAACAAGCCATATGAAAAGGCAACACTTCTAGTCGTACAAAAACATAATACCTCTACCGATGATTGATTCTCTAGGGAGGCCACTCAATGGATAAAAAGGATAGCTCAATGAATTTCTTAGATATGGTTTCATGTCATTCCAACCAACCTATCCCTAAGTCCATCATTCACACAAGAAGGTTACCATTATGGCTTTCAATTCAAAGGATATCGTAACCTTCTTTCTATATTGAAGGTTCGAAGTTATTGACCGTCTTTAAATGTTCAAGGTAATTACTAGTGATACTTAAAAGGGTACAATCTTAAGTCTACCGATCCTAGACTTTCATTAAAAATTCATTCATAAACATACAAGAAAAATGTGATTAATCCTACTAAGTCAAAATGTTCATATTCATATTCTTAGCATATATCAAGTAAAAGGACATAGTCTACTGATCAATACACACACATGATCATCATATCACATATTCAAAAATGTTCAAGTATCATTTAGGAACAACCAAGTTTACCTAGCAAGATACACTAGAAAAACAACTAGAGACATCACCCTAGTCTATCGTGATCACACACAACCAATTAATAAAGTCATACTTTAACCTCACATATACACATATACACAAAATCATCCTTCACCTTGATCACCTATATAACCTATAACATGACAACATCACAATTCACATAATAATGTGGACAAGGCCACGTTCATAGCAATTATAACACATAAAACACCACCACCATAAGTGGACCATACCAATCAACACAATTCAATATCAATTCTACACAATATAGAAGTATTAGGTCAACTTACCATATTTCCATCATCGACGTCACCATTCCTTAGACTTTTGAACCAATTCACAATACAAAGGCTCTTACCCATAGCCATATAATAAATTTTAAACCAACATTTAAACCATACCAATGATCCAACAATATACCATATGAATATAATAAAATTATGGCAGCCTTATATAATTATATCACGATGTATACATAATTGAATAGTCTAATACAACATACACAAGAATTCACTGATATCAGGTCATGATCAATTCACCCACATTAGACCCAAAAATAGTAATCATGAAATTTATGGGTTCATAGAGATTTTGATATAAAAACATTCAATTCCCATCAATTTTATCATGAATCGTTGATTCAAATCATTTTATGCAAGAACCCATGGCTAGAATTCAAAATATAAGAATTCATGTTTTTGAACATCTTCGAAAACCATTTAAAATTTACCCCTTGAATGACAAAGGATTCAAGGATGACACACCATACCTTAATTGAATAAAATTCCATGCAATTCAGAGAAGAAATTACTTGAAAAATCACCTTCTAGCTTGAGCTTGAGCTTGACCTCCGATGGAGGTTTGAGAGAATTTGAAAGAGAAGAGAGTTTTGGGTTTTTGATTTCTTATTGGGTATTGGGGTTTCGACTTGGGAAAAGGATTAAATAAGACATAAAAACCATCTCTAAATGTAGTCTTGTTGATATGGTAGCTATTGTTGTAGGCGAACTCAATAAGAGAAATGTGATCATCCCAACTACCCTTGAAATAGATCACACAAGCTCTGAACATATCCTCTAGGGTATGAATGGTACGCTCTACCTGTCCAGCCGTCTGCGGATGTAATGTTTTGATAAGGTTAACCTTGATACCAAGACCCTTCTGAAATGACTTCTAGAAATGAGAGGTAGAGTGAGGACCTCTATATGGGATGATAGACAAAGTAACCCATGCAACCTCATAATTTCATTAATGTAAAGATTGGCATAGTCCTATACTGAATCTGTAGTCTTGACTGCCACTTGGTCATCCTATCAACTATCACCCAAATGGAGTCATGTTGTCTGCGAGTGCGAGGTAACCCTGTGATTAAATCCATATTGATCAGTTCCAACTTCCAAGTAGGACTGTCGATCTCTTGAGTCATACCTCCTAGTTTCTGATGTTCACCTTAATTTACTGGTAATTGGGGCACTTACTCAAAAAATCTTCTATATCCCTTTGCATGCCATTCCATCAATAGATTTCGCGCAGATCAAGGTACATCTTAGTGGCACCTGGATGAATAAAATCTCTAAAGTTATGGGCTTCAGCATGAATATACTGTCTCAACTCACCCACATCAGGAACACACAATCTACCCTGGTAGCGAAGTACATCATCTCCCCCTTGGGAGAAAACCTCCACTCTCTGATTATGTACTGCACCCTTAAGTTCAAGTAAGATTGGATCACTGTCTTTATTTTCATTAACCTCTACTACAAAAAAAGATTTTTTCCCATTCTAAACCGTTACACCATAGTTTGATATAATCATAAGGCAATCTCCCAAGCGCAAGCCTTTGAACATCATTCATTAGCTCCTTACTTTATTCCTCAACATGGGTTACACTACCCATATATAATCTACTAAGAGCATCAGCTACTACATTCTTCTTACCAAGATGGTAATGCACACTTATATCATAATCCTTAAGGAACTCAAGCCATCTCCTCTAGAGAAGATTCAACTCTTTCTGGGTTGAACACATATTTTAGGCTCCTATGGTCAGTGAATACATCTAAATGAACACCATACAAGTAGTGTCTATAGATCTTGAGCGCAAATAACGCTGCTGCAAGATCAAGGTCATGAGCTGGATAGTTCTTCTTATGCGCCGTAAGTTGTCTAGAAGAGTATGCTATAAACTTATCTTGCTTCATCAATACACAACCTAGGACAAGTCTTGATGCATCACAATAGATCATATAACCATCTGAACCGTCTGGTAGAGTCAAGACAGGAGCTGTAGTCAATCTAATTATCAATTCTTCGAAGCTTTTCTCACAATCATCTGACCATTGAAACTTGACCATTTTTTGAATCAACCTAGTCAATAGTCAAGCTATGGATGAAAGTCCTTCCAAGAACCTTCTATAATAACCCGTTAGACCTAAGAAACTTCTGATATCTGTAGCAGCGATAGGTCTCTCCAATTGTTTCACTACTTCTGTCTTATGTGAATCAACTCAGATCCCCTTATTAGATACAATGTCACCAATAAAAGCAATGGATTGCAACCAAAACTCACATTTGCTAAACATAGCGAATAATTGGCGATCTTTGAGAGTCTACATAACAACTCTCAAATGACTCGCATGTTCTTCCTCATTTCTAGAGTAAATGAGGATATCATTAATAAAGATGATAATGAACAAGTCCAGGTACTGCTTGAACACTTTGTTCATCAAATCCATGAAAGCTACAGGATCATAGGTTATTCCAAATGACATAAGTACAAATTCATAATGACAATAACGAGTTTTGAAAGCTATTTTTAGAATATCACTATCTCTGAATTTGAGCTGATGATAAACAGATCTGAGGTATATCTTTGAGAAGTTACTAGCACCCTGAAGTTGGTCAAACAAGTCATCAATCCTGGGTATACTTATTCTTGATTGTGACCGTGTTCAACTGTCTATAGTCAATGCACATTTTGAGAAAACCATCTTTCTTCTTTACGAACAACACAGGTGAACCCCATGGAGAAATATTAGGTTTAATTAAACCCTTATCTAGAAGGTCTTTCAACTGCTCTTTCAATTCCTTAAGCTCTACTGGAGCCATTGTGTAAGAAGGAATAGAATTAGACTGGGTATCTAGAAGGAGATCAATTCCAAAGTCAATTTCCCTTTCGGGAGGAACTCTGGTAAGATCTTCCAGAAACATTTTTGGAAACTCACTGACAACTAGAACTAACTCAAGAGTTGGGTTTTCAGAGCTAGAATCCTTAACCTAAACTAAATTATAGACATAACACTTAGAGATTATCTTTCTAGCCTTAAGATAAAAAATAAATCATCCCATAGGCTCTAAGATACTACACTTCCATTCTAAGATTGGTTTGTTTGGAAAAAGAAAATGAACAATTCTAGTTCTACAATCAACTGAGGCATAATAGGAATATAATCAATCCACGCCTAGAATGACATCGAAATATACCATTTCTAACTCTAAAAGATCTATTGAGGTGACGTTCTGAGAGAATGTAACAGGGCAATTTTTGTATACCCGTCTAGCTATAACTAGGTCACTAACTAGAGTAGAGAGTGAGAA